GACGTTTTGTACCAAACTCTCATGGGTAAAGAAAAAGAAGAAAATGTACGAAAAAGAAAGAAAATGTCAAGAGAGCTAATTGAGACAGAAGTGTCAATCTTTCTACAATCGATAGGTATTCCAATCCGAAGCTCAGAGGCAATCATATTGGAATGGTGGGACAAGTGGCATATTTTCTTTCAAGATGTAATCTGGCTACAAAGATGTGAGGAAGTAGCAAACTGAGAAAAAGAACTTAATATTAACTCCAAGGAAAAAAAAAAAAGAAAAAAAAAAAGTGCTCCAAATAGCTTCATCTCAAAGAAGAAACAAGAGAAGAAACCTGTAGATCCACCTACTACCAACGAAAATAAGGATAAAGGAAAAAGAAATAGGCCAAGATGGTGGAATAAGTTCAAAAAAGGGCTAGACATAATGGTGGAGGAAGTAAATAGATGGGTATGGACTGGCAAGTAGTTCAGTTGGAATAAAAATTAAATAGATCATGACAGGCTGTAGATCCTGGCCAAGGATCAATATCTACGATAGATTAAGAAGAAGTAGCGAGGCTAATTCTACTTTGGCAGGTTGTACATAGGTACCAGTAAGCAACTAGGTAAGCCACACTTTAGGTTTAAAAATAGCATAGCTATAAATAGAAATCACATTTTAGTGAAAATATAAAATTTATATTAAAATAAAGTTGTGACATGATCGTCAAAAAAAAAATATATATATATATTGATTTTGTTTATTTGAATAAATTTTATTTAGTAAAATAAATTTAGTATTTTCGAATTAATTTGAAATATTGCAAATAAATCATAAATTAATACTATTTAAATATATTTATATAATACATTTTTTATCAAATTATGCCAAAATAACTCTATTATATTTGATTTAAGTCGAAACAGTGCAATATTTCTGTTTTCTTATAATTAAAGTTTCATTATTCCTGTTACTATATACGTCAGTTTAAAGCAGATTGTTGCAATTTTTTGTAAAATATTACAATTTAATTTGTGTAATATTGCATAATTTATTACGTATGTATTTCATAATATTCCATAATTAATAATTGTATAAGATTTTGTGTTATTTCAAAATTCTTGTACAAGATTTCAGTCTATAATAACTTATATAGAATTATATTTATATATTTTACTGATGTTCTAAGAATTAGCAAAAAATTAGAAGCTTGAACCCAGGCAACAACTGAGTCTTAATAATTAATAATATTGAGGCCTAGAAATTAGCAAAAAATTAGAAATATGAGTTTGATACAATGCCCAAGTTTTAAGAACTAATATTATTAAAACCTAAGAATTACAAAAATTAAAAACTAGTATTTTCTTCTTTGATTCCAAGTATCTTGTGATCTACTAAGCCAATTTTGATAATTCAACTATTATTAGAATTAGAAAAACCCTTTACTTAATAAAACCTTTAATTTTAAAAAATTTTTTTAAACAATTATATTATTGTTTAAGATGAGTTAGTTATTTAACTTTAAGAATATTGTAAAAAATTAATTAACTTTAGTAAAAGATTTTCTTTCAACTACTTGAAATTAAGAACTAAAACTTTAAACTAAAAATTATCAAATATTAAAGAATATATATCTAAAGTTTAAAGAAAGGTTTATATATATATTTTAAAATAAATTTAATTTAAGTAGTTGTTTGTATAAATTTATAAATAAAATTTGATGAGTTAACTTATTTGATTTATAAATAATAGTACTTATTAAGGACATATTCTATAACTAATAAGCTTATAACTATAGTCATCCTCTTCTATAATTACATAGTTGGGCCACTCTAATATAATAATTATAAAAAGATGTGACTTTATAAAAGTATTTCTATAAACACAATTATAATTAATATAAAAAGGGAGTTGGAATCCCACGGCCTAGTGGTCTAGGCATCCAACCCTCCACGAGCGGGTTTCAGGTTCAAGTCCTAGTAGGTACATTTACCTACGAATATTTGGAAGTATCTGCCATGGGAAGTCCAAGTGAATACAGGTCTGGATTAGAAATTTCTGGAAGGAGGTCCATTGTGAAGTAGTTGGCACTACATGTAATAGTGGTTATTACAGAAGGTTCTATTACACAAAGGTTGTGTGTGTAAATCCGCGATTGGCAAGATAGCACCAACAAACCCTAAGGCGGTATTGGGGATCTTGTTTGGGAGGATAACTGGGCGGTAACCAGAATTGGAAAGTGGTGAGAAATGTGGTGAACACAAAAGGACCTGTGGTAAAGAATTGGCCTTACCAGATTTGGAACACCTCTAGCATATACAGAACTCACCGGCCAATAAGAAGTTGAAGTATGGAGGCATGTACATGTTGATAGACCTAATAGGCTCTGGTCATACCCGTATGGGAGCTTTGGCGTTAAGAGGACTCGGGACCACCAATATAGGTATAGCTGATATAAGTGCATGCAGTGGAGGCTACAACTGCTAAGAATCACTATAAAAGGAAACAATGATGCACCTGTTACCTCTGAGCCTCATAATGCTATCCAACTATACTGACTACTAGAAGCATTTGCGAAACATGCCTGGGCACACTCATCACCATATTGGGAAGTACAGTCGTTAGCACAGACCTTATCAGATACATTAAGACCTGGGTTCTAAAAGTCACAGGAAACCAGCTAATTACGGCAGCATGCAGGCTTGAGATACTTACCTGTTCAGGTAGAGGCAGCTGTATGGCTTGAGATACGAACTCCTGGAAGTATGCTAAGTAGGGATTAAGGGAGAAAACCCTGCTTACAGGCACACCAAACCGAAAGCAATAAGCGCCTACCTGGTATACACCGATTTGGGAGTTGAAGATAAATGGTTTGTGGGTAATGTGGTGGACATGTGAATACTAATTGGCGGTTGGGGAGGGATGTATAAAATCCAGGTCAATCACATGTGTGGGAATGTTGACAGGCTCTGGTGGGTTTTAGCCGTGGATAAATAGTCTTAGTACTTGATATCCTAGTCCTAGTTCTGATATATAATATGTATGTATTTACGGCACCATTATATGTCAATTTACTCAAGTATTAATAAAAGTCTGGGGCAGGAGCTACACCCCAAATATTAAAAAAAAATAAAAAATAAAAAAATAAATTATTATGAAATGTCACGGATTATCGTGAAATCAGATTATCGTGAAATTTGGGGGTCTTGATTTAAAAATATAAGCCCTACCAAAATCCACCTATACTCTTTTATTAATAATTCTAACCCTTAACTATAAAAAAAAAGCTTACAAGACCCCAAAAAAATTTAAAAATCGTATATAAAATAAATCTAAATTTCACGATGATCCAATTTCACGATAATCCGTGACATGAAATATTACGGTATTATAAATTTACTGATATATAAACTCTAGCTTTTACCCTTCTTGTATTAGAGGATTCGTTCTCTGCAATGTTCTAAAATATTGGGATTCTATAGGAATAGATACCTATAGATAGCTTTGTATCTTGATATTGTATTATAAATAAATAAACATATCTTTGCCTAAAGTAAACCATGTCTCTATGCTTTAATGTATATACCGAACTGCCCTAGTGAGGAAACATTTCACTTCTACACCGCTTTATATCTCGCCCTGTTGTATTAGAGATCTCTGTCACTATGTGCTATATTGCAGGTAGTAAATTAAGAAGACTATCCTACTTGTAATAATATATAAAATTAAATATTGAAAATTTTTATTTAATAGCTCAAAGCTAGTTTTTGTAATAAAATTTTAAAATTAATATAGTTATACTTGTAGAGTATATTAAATTTTTTGTACCTATCATATAATATTATATACAAAACTAGTAATACTAATATTGTTAATGTTAGGTTAGATTAGGATAAAAACTATGTTAAAGTTAGAATTTAGGCTATTATATAGTAAAATTATTCAAGAATAATATTTTATTAATACACAGAAGATGGTTTAGTATGCTATTTCTTCAAAATGAGCGATTTTTGTTAAAATGAACAGTTGTTTTGAATTTTCTTAATTGTGTAACATTACATCTAATCTTGAATTTTGTTAGCGATTTATAGATTATATAATGCAGGTATATATATCTTTGGGTATATATATCCTGTACTGTATAATTCCAAAATTTTATAATATTAATTTTTTAAAAATTTTCTTTATTTTGTTACACAATATCTTGCAATCTAATTGGTAAATTTATATATATATAAATATTATAAAGTATTAATTAGTTTCAAAACCAAATTTTTCAAAAATGTCTTATATATCTTGCAAATATTTTTACTAAAACACACCTATAATATTTTACACCATAGATTCCTATTTCTCAAAAACATACTATATTACAAAATAACATGCAGGGGTGAAATTACAAATTTCAGTCTAAATTAAGCTTAATTCAGGCCAAACCTCAAAATAATGCCCATTTTTTTGTGAAAATACAGTACTAAAAAACCTCTCAAAAACTGAGATTGGAATCTTATATTAGCTTTATATTATATAAAAAAATAATTCTTAATACCCAAACCCTAACCTTAAATTTTTATTAAAAACAATTATATATGGTGCTAAAACACCATAAATGCATTTTATAATAATTGTTTTAAAAATATCATATAAATATTGGCATTTAAGATACTTTATATATAGCTACAAGAAACAAGTCAATATGCACCAGTCCAATAGGCCGCAGATACATACCAAATATCATCAGGCTATCAGATGGTGCATATCGGAAAGTTTCTGCAACATATATGTGAGCTTTATGTGACATATCATATGCCGCATAAATTTTAAGGTTGGACCTGTGTTATAGATAAGGTAGTTTATTAAATTTGTATAGATAATTTTTTAAAATGCTGTAGGCATATTTAATTAAACCTATTCAACATTTTTTCTATAATATATATTTCTAAATATATACTACATAATAATCCAATTATCGATTAGCTCTAATGTCTTAATAAATATGAAATATCAATTTTTAAATTAGTATTATTGAATTAAATAGTAGCCCGGCCAATAGTATGAACACGAAATCCAATAGACTTCAACTTTTCAGCATCAAGAATAAGACGTCCGTCGAAAATAAATGCTGGTTTATTCATTCTTTTATAGATACTTTCATAGTCCAATTCCTTATTTGAAAAAAAAATTGTTTAATAAATAAAAATGTGTAACATACTTGACGCTATTTCTACTAACCTTAAATTCATCCCACTCCGTAACGACGACTATAGCATCAGCATTTGCGGATGCTTCATATGCAGATTGAGCAATGGTAACACGTTTCTTTACTATTGTCATAAAATTAAATTAGCACAGGCACGAATACAAATGCAAAGAAAAAAAACAGATTGATAATTTTATCATGATCTTACAATCTTTGATATCAGTAACCCCTGGTTCGCTTAAATCTAAA